TAAAGACTTTTTTGTTTCGTCTGGCATATATCCCCGTTAATTATTACTAGTCCTCCTTCTAGTGTTGTTTATGTGTGGTTTTTTTGGTTGAATTATTTTAACTATATTTTTATTAAATGTTTTAATGTTTTTATGTCCCCACCTTGGGGACCCTAACTGGGTGAAAAGGCAGCATAAAATGTTTCTAATAAAATAAACATTACATTTTGGCATGTCATAGTTTTGCAGGATTTCTTAACAGATTTAGTTATGGCTAGATGTATAACAATAAAATTGTCTTGTTTAGAGAACTATTGACAGCCTTTCACAAATGCAGAGACCCAAACCTGGTTGATGCTTTCCTGTGGTGTCTTTCCCCTTAGTCTCCTGTTTTATGACCAATGCCCTAAAATATCATTCAAAAGCTTGGTTTAGGGTTGCTTTCAATGCTCCCTCTAAGCTGTGGAGGTTTGTGAGCAAAAGTTCGACTTTGTGAGCTACTGGTATTAAAGTTGTGAGTGAGCAATTTGGCTACTGCATAAATTAGTTTGCTCTGGAGCCATCCTTCTTGAGCTAAGACAAAAATGTGTGAGCCGGAGGCTAAAAAACTGTGAGCTAGCTTGTGCTAACTCAGCTTAGAGAGAATACTGGTTGCTATTATGAGGTCATCATCACCATCAATGAGAACTTGGTCACTCAGGAAGTTTGTCCTCTGTGCCCATCTGAAGAGGCAGGCGGCTGATAATGTATTTCACTCTAGCCCATGGTGTCCATTTCCCAGGATTTAGAGGAGTTGAGGATGTGTTATCGCACTTAAGTTACAGAGGCAGTAGATGGTTCTTCATGTGCTCTCATTTTTGAACCGAGGCAAGCGCAAACCAGGGAATCATCCAGTGATGTAACATGCAGCCCCCCCCCCCCGGGCATCAGGAGTGACTGAATGATGTAATGAGATTGGGCAGAATTGCTTGCTTCCAATTGAAGCCAGCCCTGTGAATCATGCAGGGACCTAGCAGGTAGCATCCTCTGTGGAAGAAGAAGAAAATATTGGGTTTATACCCCGCCCTTCTCTACCCAAAGGTGTCTCAGAGCGGCTTACAAACTCCTTTACCATCCCCTCCTCACAACAGACACCGATGCCCTGTGAGGTAGGTGGGGCTGAAAGAGCTCTGACAGAAACTGCTCTTTTTCAAGAACACCTCTTATCAGAACTATGGCTTGCCCAAGGTCATCCAGCCAGGTGCAAGTGGAGGAGTGGGGAATCAAACCCGGTTCTCCCAGATTAGAGTCCGCACACTTAGCCACTACACCAAACTGCTTTGATCTCAGAGAGCCTTTAATTATTTGCCTTGGAAATGACGGAGCTTAGGGTTTGGCAGTGTAAGCAGCATGGCTGGCCTGTGGGTTCACTGCTTCGTACCTATTCATTTTATCTTCCTCTTTTAAGAGATTACTGGTATTAGGACTCGCCTTCCACCTTAAACCACACAAACCTCTGGTTTTGTTTTTCTTCTGCTCAGTTCCTTTCAACATGCTACAAAGTATTTATTTCCTGATCAAGATTTCTTTTAGAACTACTCTTATGAGAAATCAACTTTTTAAATTAATCACAGCTTGCCGTTGATAAGCCCTGAAGGAGCTTATTTCCCAGACCCAGGCTAGATGTCCTTTCAATAGCTCATCTCAGCAACTTTAAGATGAATTCTGAAAATCTAAGAGAGGGCATTTCATTTCAAATTGCCTTTCAAACATGACCTTTACGTTTGCTGCCTTAGAGGTAATATTGTCTTGAAAAAATTCTGGCACCCAAAACCTAAATATTTGCACTAGCATACTTTGCTGAAAGGCTAGTACTGTAACTTGATGGGAGATCACTCATTGTATTCATGTATTTAAAATACTTCTATTCTGCTATTAGATTTTTAAAAATCTACAAAGCAACTAGCTGAAGTCAAAATCTAAAAACAAATTTAGTCAATTAAAAATACACAGCAACCTTCCCCCAACAAAGCAGATCTAATCAAAATAACCTGTCTTGTGGGTCAGAAACTAGTACAAAGAACAAAAACACCAGCCCCCAAGTCAATCAGGCTATAAGCCTAACAGAATCACCTTGAGGGCACAGCCTTTCTCTACCATATAAGCATGTGCAGCAAAGGGTAAGGCAAACATGTCTTGGGAACAAACACCAGAGTCTCAATTCCACTGCTGAAAACTCCTCTCCTGTATCAGCAGCCCCCCACCAGCACCACCACCACCACCAGCACCACCACCACCAACCAAAGCTGGAGAAAAACGAAAGAGGGACTGGAAGATCTTTACATGTTGGTAGCTTCATATGGGAGCGAACAGTCCTTTAAACATTCCGGCCAAGACCTTTAAATGTTTTAAAGTTTAAAACCAGCACTTTAAGCATGGAAACACACTAGCAGCCATTGAAGTTTTCATAAGAATGGCACGCTATGATCCATGTAGCTGGTGCTGTGTTCATGGCTCTGGCAGAGGAAAGAAAAGGTAAAACCACTTTCTCTTGCTCCTTCAATCTAATGCATTATAAAGTCTTAAGCATTAATCTGTTCAGCTAAATTTGAACTGAACTCAACGTTTACCTGCTCATATAGCAGATACAGAATTCATGTTCCTAAAAAAAGTTAACATGTAGATATCTCTGATGCTGTCAGCAGACTGACTGATAGGCTTGATAGACATCAACACTTATGACCATATGAAACAGACATCCCCTAAGCCCTTTTTTGTAAGGGTCATCTTACCTGATCAAAGAGAATTTAGTAAATCCAGTGAATCAATCAACTCAGCAACTAAACTTGCATAAGAATAAAACAATAATTCTGAAGAAAAATAAAAGCATATTTCATATGAAAGAAAAGGAGCGATGCAATTGCCATTTATGAGGTTGGTAACATACTAGCATTAAATTAAAAAATACCCTCTTTTACAGTTATTTGCAGGCATCCTCATAATTGATTTTAATAGAAGGATCTTGCCAATTAATCAACTACATGTTAAAGCCTCACTATTTACATGATTAGTGTTGCAGCAGCTGGGGTACATATTTGGTTTACATTTCTACATTTATATTTTTATTTTATCTTTATCTTTATATTTCCATATTTATATCGCCATATTTGGTTTATCCTCCCCTACAAATCAACCCCACCCTACTTAGGACAGCCAAGTATGACAGTGACTACAATGCTGGGTTTGGCTTTAGGAAATCTCTCAATTATGAAGTTCAATAGTATGAGGAGGCGGAAGAGGAAGAAGAAGAGTTGGTTTTGTACCCCGCCCTTCACTACTCAAAGAAGTCTCAGAGCAGCTTACAATCACCTTCTCTTTCTCTCCCCACAACAGACACCCTGTGAGGTAGGTAGGGCTGAGAGAGCTCTGAGAGAACTGTGACTGACCCAAGGTCACCCTGCTGACTTTATGGGGAGGAGTGGGGAATCAAACTGGTTCTCTAGATTAGCGTCCACTGCTCTTAACCACTACACCAAACTGGCTCTCTCTCAGGAAGCACTGGACTCAGCCCAACTGACATTCTGGGATTGCTGAGATTTGAATAGCTTCCTTAAAATACCAAATCCTTGGGAATTTAGCCAAATCCTTTTTTGGACAGTGCTAAAGCAGTATCTGAAAGTAACGTTTCTGGGCCAGCTTCAGGAATTCTTGGTGCTCCAAATGTATTTTCTACATTTTGCCCTAGCGATTTAATTCAGGATTTTTTTGGGGGAAAAATAACAACAACTTGGATTTGGGCCAACTGGTTTTCAACCCCAATTCATATCCAATGACTATGGGCAAACCAATGCCTAGTTTCCTCTTGGTAAGGGAATATTATTAATTTCACGGAGTTATTGGAGTGCTGGGCTGTTTACAACATCAAGGCCAGGATCACAGACACTATGATATACAGCTGTTTTCCCAACATCCCAACACATCCTTGTGGGGCCAAGAAATATGACCCAGGATAGGGGGCTCTGTTGGTCAGAAGCAGGCTTGCACGTTAATGGCTGCTGTCACCAGCCAGGGGAAGAGAATGGGTTTCACCCTTATACTAATGTCATCCCCCAGTGCAACCCTTCACTTTTGCTTACATGAAAGAATGCTTTCTATTTCATCTCTATGGAGAAAATAAAACTTGGGAGTATTTGGGGGCTCAGGGCCACACCAGCCCTCCACTGATCTCTGGGCGTTGTGGTCCTCTCCAACAAGAATGCTGCAAGGTGAGCACAATGTGTCATCACGGGAGAGCTCACAGGCAGCCCACCTCTGGCAAAGCCCTTGCAATATGTAATAGTCTCTGCCCATATCATACTGGGAACAGTTTGGCCTTTTGAATCGACATGTATATATTTATATATTTTGAACATCTTTTCCCTCCAGAAAAGACCTACTGCTCCATCCAGAAACCGTTTTTAACTTGCTGCACTGTTGCCTTAAAAGTTACTCTTTGCTGCCTGAATATATTCCATATAGTTACTGTTTCTGCACAGCTGTATTTAATATGGCCTCACCGTCCATTTACTTTGCAGCACAGCTCACTTCTCATAACTGATTTAGATGTTGAGGGAGAAAAGATGGGCTCAACAAAGATATAATCTTCTGTTGTTTCTGAGTTGCCCTCATTTTATGCATGAGTCACCAACTTGGCCTACAAGTCATCACAGTGTCTCTCTCAAATCAAGTATCTGAGACAGCATGGCCTGTACACTGGTCAAGACTAGCCTGTGATATCACAATGTATTAAAACAGAATAATTTTTTAAAAAAATCAATGAGGCTCTACAGAAGAAACCATTATCTATTTCAGAAGTTCTTTTATTTCCTTGGAACGTCTACAGTGCAGCAAGTGCTATGTAAACAGGACATGATATGGAAAAATAAATATTTTCAATAAAAAAGACCTTTTTGCGAAATGTCATTATTTAGACAGTCACAACCATTAACATGCTCACAAGTCACACAATTACTTCCATATTTCACTCCCCAAAAGTGTTGCTTTCTTCTTAATTGTGCCACAGATAACCAGCCCAAGAGGAATGATTAACCAAAGCAATTTGGTTGGCAAAAGTCCACTTTGCTTTCAACAGCAGTGGAATATAGCCTGCTATAGTGGCTTCACTTGGATTACATTGACCTTTGTGCCCACATGTTTGGTACCATTTTCTATCGGTTGCACATCATCACTGGTGATAATGAAAATGATGGAAGAAGAGCTGAAAGTCACTTTCTTCTTGGGCCTGTCCCCTGCTTTCTGGGACATGACTATGGGCCTTATTGGCCTTTCACTCTCTACTGCTGGCCTGTCTTTCAAGGTCCTTTGGAATTTCAGGAGGCGAACACAGAAGAGCTGCAGAAGGCATCTTCGAAACTAGGTAGAAAGGAAAATGATAGTGACAATCCAAGGGACCACTTTCTTGCAATATATTCAAGGCTGACATAGATACTCCATGGAATCAGTGTCCGCTCCTACTGAATACGCTCAGACATAGTGACACTGATTCCTCTTCTTATGCATTTTTCTAAGCACATGAAAATATGCAGTGTATTCAAGTTCATTTTAGCATCACTGTGGCCATCAGTATTTTCAAAGCTAGAGGCATCTAGGTAAGAATTTTTAATGGCACCAACAAATTACAGGATATGTTGTCGAAGGCTTTCACAGCCGGAGTTCATTAGTTGTTGTAGATTTTCTGGGCTACATGGCTGTGGTCTTGGCATTGTAGTACCTGACATTTTGTCAGTAACTGTGACTGGCATCCTAACATAAGAACATAAGAGATGCCCATGTTGGATCAGGCCAAAGGCCCATCCAGTCCAACCCTCTGTGTCAAACAGTGGCCAAAAATACCAGTGCCATCAGGAGGTCCACCAGTGGGGCCAGGACATTAGAAGCCATCCCACTGTTGACCCCCCCCCAAGCACCAAGAAGACAGAGCATCACTTGCCCCAGAGCCCCTATCTATACCTTGTGGCCACTGATGGACCTCTGCTCCATATGCTTATCTAATTCCCTTTTGAAGCCGTCCATGCTTATAGCCGTCACCACTTCCTGTGGCAGTGAATTCATGTGTTAATCACTCTTTGGGTGAAGAAGTACTTCCTTTTATCCGTTCTAACCCGACCGCTCAGCAATTTCATTGAGTGCCCACGAATTCTTATATTGTGAGAAAGGGAGAAAAGTACCTCTTTCGCTACCTGCTCTATCCCATGTATAATCTTATAAACCTCAATCATGTCACCCCTCAGTCGTCATTTCTCCAAGCTAAAGAGCCCTAAGCGCTTTAACCTTTCCTCATAGGGAAAGTGTTTCAACCCTTTTATCATTTGAGTTGCCCTTTTCTGCATTTTTCCAAAGCTATAATATCTCTCTCTTGCTCAGTCTCTGCCAGTTCAGACCCCATCAATGTGTATTTATATTTAGGATTTTTGGCTCCAATGTGCATCACCTTGCACTTGGCCACATTGAACCCCATTTGCCATGTTGATGCCCACTTGCCCATCCTTGACAGATCCCTTTGGAGTGCCTCACAATCCTCACTGGTTTTCACCACCCTGAACAACTTCGTATCATCCGCAAATTTAGCCACCTCACTGCTTACTCCCAACTCCAAATCATTAATGAACAAGTTAAAAAGCAGTGGACCAAGTACTGTCTAAAAAAGTTTTTAAAAGTCCTCAGAAGTATAACACAGAAAGATGGAGTACTCTGTGTCAAGGTGAAAAGAAAAATGTTAGGCAGGTAATTTATATCTACTCAGGAAGGTGGGGTAGGGCTGAGTCATTATCTTGTAGGAGTTTCCCAGGCTGTGACATGCTAATGGAGGAGCTTTCCTGTGGAGATTCTTTTGCATATGAATTGGCTGTTGAAATTCTAATCTTATCTGTACAGCTGTTGTGAGATGTACAGCATCTTGTGTTTTTCAGGACTGGAAACCATGCCCTATTTATTTTTAAACTCTCTTCCTTCCTGTTGAAATTGTGAACATAGCCAACCTGAAAAATCAGCAGTAGCTGAACACAGCCTAACTCAAAGACGACACAGTATCTTGTTCTAAGACACTGAAATGCTGGACAACACATCTAATTACCATGTCAGATTACCAGGGAAGCCATTGAAATTCATAAACATAAACACAATTTCTACAAGAAGGAAGAGAGTTTAAAAAAAGATAGGGCATGGTTTCCAGTCCTGAAAACACAAAATGTTCTACATCTCACAACTGCACTACAGATAACATTAGAATTTCAACAGACAACCCATATGCAAAAGAACCTCCTCAGGAAAGCTCCTCCATTAGCATGTCAGTCTGGGAAACATCTGCAAGATAATGACTCAGCCCTACTCCACCTTCCTGAGTAGATATAAATTACTTGCCTACCATTTTTCTTCTCACATTTATACAGAGAGTACTCCATCTTTCTCTGTTATATCTCTGAAGATGCCAGTCACAGCTGCTGGCGAAACGTCAGGTACTACAATGCCAAGACCACGGCCATACAGCCCGGAAAATCTACAACAACTAAATTACAGGGTAGCTGAAATATGCTTGAACAGCATCTTATCAGACATCTCATAAAACATTCTGAAATATTCACTGTTCTCTGCATGTGGTAGGAATAACAAAAAGCTGATCTATTTTATAAAGTCCAAACACCACAAAGAAAGTACTTTGGAGTCGAAAATCATCCATGATTTTAATACATTTAGGTTTAGAGTTGCACTGAGTTTTGACTTGCAAAACTTTGGCGGACAAAAGAAGAGTTATAGTATGTGAAATGGCCCATCCTGCCTTCAAAAGTACTTGTATCACATTTGTTTATGGCGGTCTGTCTCCACTGTGTTTCTGTTGCTCCATCAGTGCCATTAAACAAAAAACTGGGACTTTCTCCCCACAGTGTAATCCCAGCCAATACAGGTCATGCTGTGATTGTGATGTCATGGTATTGCTTAGCATATCAGATTTGACTATATGGTGACACTACTGAACACAAACAGCCAGTTTTGCTGCACTTATTCTGAATCGGGTCACAACATCATGACCTGAAAAATCTGCTTCCAACCCTATCTTTTTAAGAATGTTGTTGCATCCAGCCTGATGAAAAATCCCGGTGGCTTGAAAGCTTCTACAATATTTTATGCCAGTTTCATTGGTCTTAATAAGAGGTATTACACATTTTATTGTTGTTGTTGGATTTTGTGTGGACCAAATGTGACTGTAACTACTTCTGTGTTGCTCAGTGAAGCACCCTATGCAGATTAACTATCCCACCAAAGTAGTTAGTAGCAGAGTGACGTGCTGTAAGCCATTTCACCATAGGTAGCAGCCATCTTAAGAGTGTAACCTAATTGGCACCAATGACTATGGACCTAACAGCTTGCTACAATTTGTCTCTTTCCTTATATAGACAAAAGAAAACAAGAAAGCCTTAACCACACCTCTGGTTTTCTATTGCTTCTTTTTATGACATAGCCCAACGCAAAGGCTTGGATCCCCCACACTACAGCACAAAATGCTATTCCAGGGCACTAAGGGAACCCCAGTAACAGCATGAGTAGGATTCATAGGGTCTGCCATGGCCCATGGGAGAAGAAAATAATCAAAAATTGTCTCCTCTCCCCGCCTTCTGTCAGCAGAAATGACTGGTGGGATCCAAACCAAGCTTTCCACAAACTCCTTACCTAGCCAATAAGATTCCCATGCCCCACAGCTATTGGCAGTTCCTAATCTCATCCCCAACGGAATCCTGCAGATGAATGATACTAGACCCCCACCAGTGTGAGAATTTCACCCTGAAGTCTTAGATTGTTCTTCCACAGAAAGCAGAGTTAAGAACTGGTAGTGTTCTCCTCTATGACTGGATCTGCATTTTGAGTGGAAGAGAAGGTAACTTATTTTGCCTGCTTCCCTACCACTAAACAAAAACACATTAGCTGAGAGAGCAGAGTGAATTAGACATGAACCTTGCAACATGTGTTAATGTGCTCCTTTAGGAATGCTTACCTTTCTGCTCATGAAGATATAAATAACAGGGTTGTATGCAGTGCTTGATTTGGCAAAGAAAGAAGGGATAATAGCCACTGTTGGAGTTATAAGGTGACCATACCCATAGGCCATCAGAAGAGAGATCACTGCATATGGCATCCAACAAATGAAAAACGTGGTTATCATTAGAAAACACATTTTGGCTACTTTCTTTTCATATCTCAGGATTTTGATCACTTGGACAGTCTGTAAATCTTCGACACAACGAAGCTGAAAATATTAAAAGAACAAGACTGAAAGACATCAAGTGGCAGTTATTTTATGAGTAAAACATTCAGTTCTCTACCCTTTGGATATTATTAATGTCATCAGTTGAGGATTTATTGTTAGCTGATCATGTTTCTTCACTGAAGAATTTGGGTACAGTTCCTTTCAGTGCAAACAGAGGATGATCCTCTTTCCATTCCTCTTCATGGCACCTGTGCACCATCCATTACGCCAAAGAGAAGGGCGGCATACCTCTTCGTTTCCCCGTCTAGCACTCCTTCCTCAAACCAGGACTCTAGCCAGAAATCGGCATAAGCCTGAAGTGCATTCTAGGCTGGTTTTTGAGTTGGAGACCGAAGGGTAGATTCTGGAAGCAGGAAGCATGCCAACTTCCTAGTTCAGGCAGCAGCGGAGTGCACACAAATGAGCACTTTCCTCAGATGGGGGTTGATGATGTGACTGGCCCACCTGGCTACCAAACTCTATTACTGCACCCAGAATCTGCAGCCCTGTTCTGCATTATCTAGGGGTGGTCTGGCTGCTGCAGCTGCCAGTTATGTACAGTTTGATTCAACCAAGGCCAGGACCTTGGTGCCGGTGGTGAGGAGACCACTTCTAGCCCAAGAGAACGACAACATAGAAGGATGTCCTGGCTGTAGCTGTTTCAATCTAAAAAAGGCTACAGGACTTGCTTCGGCCAGTAAACAAGTAGGGAGCAGACCTACAACCCAGACATGAGGCATCTCTGCAGTGGTTCCCAGGGGAATGTATTAGTAGTCCAAATTATATGGAGGGATTGTTAATAATACTGGATGCATTATTGTTTAATTAATTATTGATGGCTGCAAATAACTTGGGGCGTTTAAATGTTGTAATTAATTTTCCAATGATTTGAGGGTTTTAAATGTTGTAATTAATTTTGGGCTACTTGTATGATTATCTGAAGAGCTTAATTAATTAAGTATTATGCTAATTTATATTGATTGATTTAATTATTCGACAACAAATAATCCAGCCAATTGATTAGTAGGAGAATTTGTTTGATTGACTGTCATACGATAAATTATTTTTAGAATATACCTATAATTTTTGTTAAAAATGACCTATCCCCTGGCCTTTATTTATTAAGGTCACTGGACAGAGGACTGGAAAGCTAGTGGCAATCAACTTTTGAATTTGGTTTGACAGGATAGGTGGGTTAACTGTGAACCAGCAGTATTGGGAATTGTAGATGATACTGCAGCATACTTAGGCACCATATCAACCAGCTCTGCTAGCGGTCTGAGGTTCGCGAAGACCACTAGAAGCAGTGATGGCAGGGCAGGGGATACCAGTGCTCCTGGGAGGGGAAAGTACAGCTTATCTAATGAGGTGCCAGGGGGCTTCGGATCCCACAGAGCATTCTGGAAACCAATTGGATCCATTAGTCTCCTCAGGCAAACATAAATCAGCTCACTGCCTAAATGAGGAGGAGTTGGGGTACTCAGACAAGCCTTCAGGACAAAGTGCCATCGCACTGCATCAATAGTATCCAGATCCACATTTATCTCCTTCCTAAAATCAGATCCACTATGTGGCCTGCTCAGTGTGTGGTAGCTGATACAAACTGAGAGAGCATGCCGCCATGGATGACACTAGGTCCATAGCCTGTGAGGATGTGGTATCATTGGCATGGACACTGAAATCCCCTAGGACTAAAAAGTCTAGGGTACTCCAGCACTCTGCCAGCTACCATCTCCAGTAAGCCAGGAAGGGTATCCACTGGTGTCCTAGGCGGCCGGTACACCAGCCAGATAGCCAAACTCTCCTCTGCATACCATACCACGCCAACACAGTCAATGCTGGTGACTTTTGGAGCGGGAACACATTAAGGATCCCTGCCCTATACCATGCCGAATTCTGCTGCACTAAGACACAGATTGGGGATACTTATGAAGCTATGTGGAAGGCCATGTGTAGCTACCCCACCCCCTCATTACTCATGCCTCTATCATTTGTTGCATATTTTTTAAGGGAGTAACACTGTGTACTACACTAGTAAAAGGGTCCCTTCAGATTAGGAAAACTGAATTCACCATTTATATTCTGCTCACACGTATAGTAGGCACTGAAATATTTCTGGGAGAACACTGTCAGAAATGGCAAGAGATGCAAACAATTCAGCAAATCCTCTTATCTGCAGCAGTCATTTTAAAAGCTGTTCAAGAGGACGACCATTTTGGTTCACCTTTTAGAAATCCATGCTGCATTCACTTATTTCAACTACTCAGTGAGAAGCCATTGCTTTAATCAACTTACCATCCGTATTGCATAGAGAATATGTCCATAGCAGTAGGCCATGATCACAACAGGAACCACCAGGCAACCAAGAAAGAAAAAGAGAACAAACGAAGCATCGTTGGGCTCTTTTGACCTCCAGTCCAGTGAGCAACTTAGACCATGTATCTCCAGCGTATAGTGGTTCCAGCCCAGTAGAGGTGCTCCTGTCCACGCTAACGAATAGAGCCAGATGTACGTGATAGCCCGCCAGGACCATGAAAAGTCAATCACTCTTGCGTGCACTACTCGAATGTAACGTTCGTAGGCCAGAACAGTGAGAGTCATAACTGAAACAATTCCTGTAAAAAAAAATCAAATCTTGGTCAATAATTCTGAATTATGTGTTACTTCTTTTGTGTCAGTACGTTTATTGGCATAAATTAAAATCAAACAAAACCAGTATTTAAATATACAGAGTACAATCGAAATCAATCATCTCGCCAGAACCTTAATGTTATATTCCCTCACCCTCACAGCAATCAGAAGAAACCTCACTACTGAGAGAGTAATATGGGAACACTGATCTAATAAGAGAAGGGAAACAATCCTCACTTCTGAGAGGCTATGCCTGTTATGCAAAGGAGGGCCAATTAAGACATCTCGTAATTTGACATAAAATTCACATCAAAGCAAAATATGAGCAATAGATTTTGGTTCCCTGCTACTGCATGGGCAGACTCTTTCGTGGTAAGGTAGATTCACAAATCTCCCATGAAGAACTGCTGATGAATCGTGCAAGCATAAAGGCACTATGTAATTGAGGGGCTGTAAACTGTGTAAAATAGGCAGCTGGAAGCCCCTGTCTTGGTATTATATTAAACTGCAGAAAGGAGCAAGTTTTACCTGCAAGAGACCAGAGAGTTTGTTTCTCAATGTCGAGGAGTCTCTGTTTCAGAGATCTAAATACTTGAATTTCATCTAACATAAAAAGGGAGCCCTCAAGACTGAATGAAGTAGATTGGATTAAAATGAATCCGACAGCATCAAGGAAATATAACTACTAAGCTCTGCCCTGTAATGGAGGCGTAACCAAAATTTCAGTGTCAAAAGCCAAGCTCTAGTCATAAGAAGATCCTGCCCTGTCTCCATGCACATGGCCACATGGCCACATGGCCACTTGGCCTACACAGCTTAGGACCCCAAGGATATACCCCAAAAACATGGCCTGGATCTGCTCAGCATGTGAATTAAATGTGTTAATCCAGATAGGGATGCCATAAAGTAATTGGGATATAACTTTGGCATTGGAAACTCTCATGACTGTGGGAACAAAATGATTACGCTTCACATAAAAAAAGCCTAGCAATCACAGACAGACTACTTTTGGCCAAATTTAATGCTTGTTTCCTCTGGGAAACATGAAACTGCCCTTGAGTTCAAATGACTAGCAGATACATTTCAACAAAAGAAAAGCATGCAGCCTGTTTTGGAAAACACGTTATTCTCTTTTTAGGGCACTGCTTCCCCAAGTAGGCAGTAGTGCTCCGTGGGGGGCAATGGGATTTCCTAAGGGGGAGCTAAGAAGTAAGGAGGAGGCAGGGGTCTGCTGGAGGTGGGCCCCTTCGACCACATTATTCACTTATTTGTAATTAACCAGGCTAGGTCACCGTGCTGCCAAATAGCACCCCAAGCTGCTGAATTTTATTGTTATCATCTTCCTTAGTGGGTCACACAAACTGCTATTCTGATTAATGCTTATATAGGGTAGGGGTCACTGGAGATGAGTTTATGGAAGTATGGGGGCAGTGGCCCAAAAATTTAAGTACCACTCAATACTCTTATTTTATTTAAGGATTTACAACTCACAGAAATCATTGGAAGTATCTATTCTTAATGCTCCATGGCTTTCTAAGGCTTAGGGATGCAAGAGTTAAATATATTCCTGTCTTAAGCAAGCACTCTTGTATGGGGCTTCAAGGACAGCTAAGCCCCATTCAATTCTGTAAATCAAAAGTAGCCAACTTTGGTATTTGCCACCCTTTCACATGTTTGTTAATAACTTTTCCCTTCGTTCTTTCCGACTATTAACCTTCCCTTGCAATGCTATGGCGTCAGCCTACGCTGTGTACTAATCCAAAAGGCATACAGCAATCAGTCTCTGCAGGGAACTCACTGTAATACTACTTGGCATACCATGGGTGAACAGGACTGGCATCTTATTACATCCTCTATTTTTCTTCCAGAAAATCTTTATATTACGATGGTTAACTGTAATACACCTCACCCTATAGTAGAATCAGCAAACTATTTATAGTGCACAGTGACTTGGTAGTTCAAATCATTACCAGAGATTCATTTCCGGCAGATAGCTCAGATGGCGCAAAAGCCCTTGCTTGTAAGGATCGGAAAGGTTTTATCAGCTAGATGTACCTTCCGATGAGTGATCCTTTTTCCTGCCAAAGCATAATAGGTATGCTTTATTTGACTATATTTGAAGATGTAGCTGACTATCTTCAGTGTTTGTCACTGCCAGTAACCCACAACACCTGAAATGCAATTTGGCCACCTTTTTTCAAAGATGTCCTTATCTGAAAAGGTTGCTTTCCTTCATATCACTGATGTCTCTTCATGTTAATAGTTGAATAAATGACACATGAAGCTGCCTTATACTGAATCAGACCTTCCTTCCATCAAGATCAGTGTTGTCTACTCAGGCTGGCTGCAGCTCTTCAGAGGTCTTTCACATCACCTACCACCTGATCCCTTTAACTGGAGACACGGGGCATTGAACTTGGGACCTTCTGCATACCAAGCAGATGCTCCACCACTGAGTTATAATCCCTCAGGAACTTCAGCAGGCACCCACCATTATTACTAACACGTAGCATGCAACTCTACAAAGGTTTAAAAGATGTGCAAAATAAGTGAGCCCTGACCTAGATGGCCCAGGCTAGCCCAATCGCATGGATCTTGGAAGCTAAGCATGATCAGCCCTGGACTGTGTTAGGATGGAAGACCAAGGAAGTCCAGGGTTGCTGTGCAGAGGCAGGCAACAGCAAACAGCTCTGAATCATTCTTGCCTTGAAAACCCTGTAAGGCTGATGTAAGGGCACTTCCCACCGCCAAGATAAATAAAAGAGCACAATGCTCTTACGTATTTTCATCAATGCAAAAACAAAGTCAAAGAGAAGGCTCAGGTCTGTCTGTGTGTGTCTAACAGTAGCAAACAATGAAACAAACAAACCATATGTATATAATATATGCAGTGGACAGTTCTGCTTTCATTGTATGAAACGGCTTAAGAACTGCCCACTTTTCCCAGCACCAAACTATCCAAGTAATCTTTGCTGCCTCTTTCCCATGTATATCCAAAAGCCCTTCTCCAACCTGCTGCTCTCTTTTTCAGTGTCTTCTTGATATCCCTCTCCATCTTATCAATCGGACACACACCACTGTAAATGTCCACGTTATAATTCCATAAAGCAGATTACTGGGTTGGATTTAGGTTGCTTGGTTTTATGGCATTGCCTAGTCTCTGGTTCTTTTTCCACCCCTCTTCCCTGCCTGAGAACTATTTTAAAAAAGAAGAAGAGGATGAAACTCTTGGTAAATGGCACTTGTACACATGAAGCACTGAGAAAGGGACAAAAAAAACCAGACTTCAGTGTTCTTCACTTTTTATTCCTTGTGGTCAACTACTTCAAAAAGTCTAGTGATGTTTTATAAAATCCACCCCCACACCCTTTATACCAGTAAAAATAAAAACGAAGAGTTGGATCCAGACAAAAAAAATTGGTAGCAGAATGGGACTTCCCCCTCCAAGTCCACTGATCTCCATGAAATGCTCTCAGGAGATAGGGGATCCTAATGAATGACATGAGGGAAGTATATAATTGATTGTATATTCTCTACAGTTTTAGAATTATGAAATCTGCTAGGAAGAAGGTTTCTCCTCAAAATGTGGAAATTATCTAGAAAACACATTAGCATTTAAAAGGGAAGATTCCTATTTATTATTAATGGACTCTAATACACAATGAGAATCTCCCTTATAAATAAAAGCCGAATGGTGGTGGCACGTCTCTAAAACATTCCATACGCTCCAAAATCAGTTCGCGCTCTGATCTGTCATTCAGAGGGTCTCCCTATCCACTGGCTGCTTTGCCTGAGTCCTGCCTCCAACATTCTAAACATTTTACTGTTCCTCTTAGCAGTCAGGGCTTCAGAGCACGGGAGAGGCTGCAGGTGTGTGGGGGTGGAAAGCTGAAGAGTGAGGGGGAAATAAAGGTAGGTTGATGATTGGCTGGGAAGGAGATAGGGTTGCCAACTCCAGGTGGGAAATTCCTGGAGAGGTGAGGGATGGAGCCTGGAGAGGGTGAGGTTTCAGGAGGCGTGGGACCTCGGAAAGGTACTTCACCCTCCAAACCAACTATTCCCTTCTGGGGAACCATCATTGTCAATCTCCAGGTGAGGGCTGGAGATCACTAAAAATTACAACTGTTCTTTAGGTAGCAGAGATCAGTTCCTCTGGAGAAAATGATGGACTGTGTCATTATACCCTGCTGAGGTCGCCACAGCAAATTGACACTGAGTTTCCAAGGCCGGGGCACCCGCCCAGAGTCTCTTTCAAGAGGCCGTTGTATTTATTTCCACAATGGGCCTTTTTCCTAGTGTACACTCAGCCCCACCTATTTCCCAGGGTGTCTGTTGTGGGGAGGGGAAGGGAAAGGAGTTTGTAAACTGCTCTGAGACTCTTGAGTAAAGGGTGGGGTATAAATCCAATCTCCTCTTCTTCTTGTTCGTTCTATTGTTGTTGTTGTAGTGCTATTGCAACCACAGGATATACTGTTGTTACTAAACTGTGGAACTTGCCAGCTTAGCTGGATACAACCTCGAGTCTTATTATTTGTTTGTTTATGTAATTATTTATATCCTGCCTTTCCTTGTGGTGCAAGGCAGATTACCAATGACAATTAATAAATATCATACTTTAAATCAACAAAATTCCCCTCCAATAATTCTCCCAAAGAGCCCTAGCAAATGGAAATGGCTTTACAACACCTTTGAAGACAGTCTAAAGATGGTGTCTCTTCCTGTCAGTGGGAGCTACAGTGGAGAAGACATGGGCTCTGGTTGATACCAGGTGGGCTATGTTAAATGGGATAGGCAGTAGGTAGCAGCTTGAGGATGGTAGCTGGCGCATGGGAATATAAGGGAGGAGATGGTCCTTTAGGTGTATAGATCCTTGTCCCCCAAATTGAAAACATTCCAGATGTTCTTTATGAATTGTTCTTGAAGAAACTGTGCTCCAAGAACCTGTAAAAGATCAGGAAGTAACAACCTTGGAACATAACCAGCG